GTATGGGGGTGTTGGAGGTGTGTATGGGGGTGTTGGAGGTGTGTATGGGGGTGTTGGAGGGTTACAGGTGGTAGGGAGGTATGAGGGTGGTAGGGGGCGGTATGGGGTTGTCGGAGGTGTGTATGGGGGTGTTGAGGGGGACTATGCGGGTGCGGATGGGGTTGTTTCGGGTTCTGGACCAAAAACAAAAACACATTTTTTTATTTTATTTTATTTATTTATTTATTTATTTTTTTGGCGGGGACTACCCTGCCCTACGTTCTATTCGGGGGAAGACGGTAGGATGACAAGCATAAAAAAGAAATACCAAAAAAAAAAAGGAGATGGGAAAAAAAAGGGATTTAAGGAAAAAAAATTACCAGATTGTGTGCCTCGTCGAAAATGAGGACTGTGTTTTCCCAACTGATTCCTTTTAAAGAATTACGCTGTTGTGGATTGATGAGGAAGATGTATGGAACGAAGAGCAGCTCAGCACTGCTATGGCTTTCCCGGGAAAGGAAGTACGGGCACCTGCGAAAGACCGAAACACGAATGAGATTTCACACAGACACAGACCACACAAAGTTATGGTTTTCCCGGGAAAGGAAGTACGGGCACCTGCGAAAAATAAAAACACGAATGAGATTTCACACAAACACAGACCACACAAAGTTGCAAACACTCAGAGGAGGGATCGGCTGGGGATCTGCTAGTCAATGGTTGGGGGACAAAGCTGCATAGAGAGGGCCCGCAATACGTCCAGTTGAGAGATTAGGACCTCTGGGGACAGAACCCGATCTCCGATGGCAAGCTGATAGGTGTGGAAGGGACACGACGTGCAATAGGACTTGGGGCTGGAAGCCCTTAAGGGGACTTCGACTAGGAAGGTCCAGAGGGCCAAGTGGGTCATTCCAAACTTCGAGCGGTTGAACCCCAGAGAGTATTCCCGCGCCTGACACCCTGCCTTTGCAAAAAAAATAATAATAACAAGCAGGTGCAGCCAGCGCAGCTTGCACCCGCGAACATCATGATTCATGAGGAAGCAGGCGCAATGAAGAATCGCACATGTTTGTCTGTGTGAGGTTAATATTTAACATTGTTTGGTCCTATCTTACATTT